TCTGCTTCCCCTACCCCGCACCCCCGTCAGGCACCACCAATGCCTACTCTTCAGACCAAGCGGACCTCCCCATCCCTTTCCTCTTCACATCGGAGCAAGACAGCAGGGGGATGGCCAAAGTGACCTCTTGAGGGGGAGTGCTGGTGTTGTGTTCTGATGTTTTTTCAGAGAGCCTAGAGTTTCAGACAAAGACATTTTTCATCTACCAAACTGCATATTTTTACTTAGATATTTAAAAAAGCAATCTCAGGCTCCGAAAGAAAATGTAACGTCGATGCCAAATCAGATGAGAAGTAACACTTGGTATCAACAGGAATATATTTGAATTTAAAAAGGCTAGTTGCAGCTGACAGCAATGTGTCTCAGCTACTTAAAGTCTGAGCAGGGGGTGGGGTGGGGAGAAGTCTTCAATAAGTGTTTATTAAGGCAGGGGACAGGTGATAAGTAGGGTGACGGTAGAGTCAGGGACGGCATCGCATCAGAAGTTATATTGAGGCTAGGTCTTAAAGGGCAGGTAATTTCGGGTAATAAAAGGAGTTCACTGAAGGCAGAGGGAACGGCATGTGCAGAGCAGGGTGTTTGGAAAAGAACTGGCATTTTCACGGAATAATGAGCACAATACCTCAAAGCATCTTAGTGTCTGTGACCGAGTGCTGTCCCCGAGCACACCCCTGGCCCTGAAATAGGGAGAGTTACAAGGGAAGAACACATCCTATAGTCATGTTTATTAGACCCAGGGCTAAAGACCCTCCAAATGTGTATGGGGAACCAATTTCTCGTATGCTTTCAATAAATCAAATGTGAGCTTTTAGGCAGAGAAAAGGCGTTCACAGTCAAGGCCATCTTTCCCCAGGGTTACCAGTACCCACAGAGGTAGCTGGTGGTCTCGCAAGTCCCAGACCTCCTGTGCTGCTCATTTTTCCCACGTTGTCCCTCTGGCCTCGCCATTCATGAGGTATCAGGAGAAGGTGCCGTGTTGGTCATTTGTTATGCAGTGACCACCACCAAATATTTGCTCAAAAATACCGGTTAAGGGCATAGGTGATGAGACCAGTATCTTGTGCTTTAAGAATAGAGGGTTTCTGTCCCCCCTACTGTTTCCAAAGGAAACTTCTATTAAGTTCCTGGGGGACACGGGTAGACAAAGGCTAGATCTAGCCCTTGCAGCAAGACTAGACGTGAGGTGTGCTACTTCCTGGGTAAGGCACAGAAGCAGATCACCCAAAGCTCTCAATAATCCCAGGACTTGTGTTCAGATGGCAGTAGCAGATGGAGGTGTACCTCTAGGGTTCCAAGGAATTGCCTTGCTGTAGCCGCTACCATGACTAACCTATCAGCAAATTCCACTTCATTTCCACAAAACGAAGTGGGAATATGGATTAGACATCAACTCAGTAAAAACACTGTTCATTAAATATTTGATGGTGGCCATAAGAGCTGTTTTGCAGGGGACAAATTTTACATTGCTTTCTTTAGAAAAACATAGAAGAAACTTCCCTACTTGTAGTTTTAGAAAAGGTTGAGTATCTCTTGAGCATTTGGTAATAAATTTACTAGAAATGTGATTCTTGATCTTTCATTGCTTTGCCTACCATGAAGCCCTGAACCAAATACATGGCTTATGCATGGCCTCTTGGGATGCACTTTTGCCAGTTCTCTACCATAATTATGTTGCTACTCAATCCTCCTTTTTCCTTTAGGTTCCGACTTCTCTATTTCCCATTTTGTTTTATACGCTTATCTTAAAAATTTTCCTCTTACAGAGATAAAGTGGACAAAGAAGGGTGAGGACCACATTTTTAGAATGTGCTCTGGACAAAAGAGCAATGAACCTTTCCTCTAACCCTGGTGAAGACAGACAGTATAAATCAGTTCTGAGTTTAACAGCTGGTGCTGATTTTAATTTACTCTTCCTCTAGTTTTCATGACCTATTAATTTTTCCTTTGTTTTTATAACAGGGTAGCTCAAAGAACATTTTAACGGTAACAATTACCAGTGCAGGATGCACAGTAAGATAGTTTATGGCAGTGGTTTTGTCTTGCTGTTGGCTTAAAATAATTCCCCATGGATTCAGGGTCCGCAGATGACATTTAATCACTAGTATTTCCTCTTTCTAAACCTTCACACACCATTTTGATTTACATTTTTGATGGAAAACCTTCCTCTATAAAAATCCAATTGGTGATACATACCTGATGCAGAAATGTTAACTTTTAAAATCCCAGCTCACACCTCACTTTAATATGACCTTTGTTTTCCATACCTGTATAGGTTCAATGGCTTGAATTAGCTCTCCTGTACATGCAGTGAAGGCAACGCTATGTTATTATTCCTACATTTCATATCTGTGGTCATATCTGTAAATGATCTACAACAGATGCACATAGACACATGTGAAAAAAATTCTTTATTAATTTCTCACATTTCATTACAAAAATGTATGTTGCAAACAACTTGAATAACCTACTTGTGTGTTTTCGTTGTTTTTAAAACCCTTGGCTTCAAGAACTCAGAATCTCCCTCTCTCCTATCAAGTATCGGGAAACACTGATTATTGGAGTCAACAGGTTCTCATTTTGCTATTTATCTTCTTCTCTCAAGCTCTGAAAAAAAATGTCCTCTGTATAAATTAAACAAAAAAAAATGTTGTAAATTCTATGTCATTACAGTCAACAGAATTATAATAATGCATCCAAAATGTGCGGCCACAAAATATCAGGTATGTTTGAAAACAAAAAAAAATGACATTCTAGCCCTGTTAAAAGGATAATGGTCCCATATTTTTATTAACAGGTTAGCAAAACAAAATCCAATGGATTACAATATTTACATGTTATTTGAAAAATAAAGTAGTGATAAAAGCATGTCACAATTATTTTCTTTTTTTTTCCTTTTTCTTTCTTTTTTTTCCTTTTTTTCCTTTTTTTTTTTTTTTTTTTGTTGTTTTTTTTCTTTTTTCTTTTTTTTTTGGTTACCATTACAAACACCCAATCCAGGTATGGAACTGTTTAATACATTTGAAATGAGGCCAATTAAAAACAAATATGGACACAAAATGTTATCTTTGTCTAGATCACACTTTCCCCATTTTCTGGTTTCCACATGATGGCCCCCATCCCTAAAAAAAAAAAAATTAAATTAAAACAAACACCCTACAAATAAAATTTCTTAACAGCAAGAAAATAAAAGAAGAACATGCTTTTCAAGTAAGCACTTATTCCACAAATGCAGTATCTTTCCATGGATTTTATTTGAAGCTGTGTGGGACACTGTCATCTCAGCAATTCCCTGTCCCTTTCTTCCCTCCCCCTCCCGCAACCCTTCCAAGTAAAACAAAAACAAAAACAAAACAAAACAAAACATGAAAACCAAAGGACTCACACACACGCACATGAGCACACACGCATCAAAGCACACACACACAGGCTTCTCTATAACCTAGGCTTCAAGGAAAGTTCTTTTCTACTTTTTTGGAATGAAACCTTTTGTTCACAATCAGAACATATTATAAATGTAGACTTAGATTTAGTCTAAGCTGCTCCCTCCTGAAAAAGCTAATATGGGGAAACAGAGCAGCTGGCAGCTAGATAAAAAAAAAAAAAAAAAAAAGTAGTTCTCCAGGCTCCTTGTAGGATATAAGTATTTCTTGTCCACTCTCACCAAAGGGATGGGATTCTAGCACATCCCCTTGTCCCATAAAATAAATGAAAAACCCTCCCCCAAACACAATGCAAACAAAAACAGAACACAGATTTCAAAATCACACACAAAAGCCAGCCCATTCTAACAAATTATTTGTGTGAGACAGATAATGTGTTAATTTGACGAGCAACAAAAGGGTGAAGAGGACTTCCTCATCTGGCCCACAAGCTGCATAGCTGTGCCAAAAAGTTTGGTTCTTTAGTTAAATTAAGGGAAAAAAAAGTTAACCTCTTTGTTATTTCCATGTTTTAAAATAAAAACATTCCTATTCACAAAAAAAACTATCCCTTGCCCCCAAATTAAAACAATAACACGCACACAAAAAACAATTTATGTGAAAACTGAATTGTGCTGTGTTTGTAACACTCAAATTGATAGAAAATAAACATATGGCAAACAAAACTCCACAGTCACCGTAAAATTAGCTCACATGAATCTACCAAATTCTAAATTATAGTCGAACACTAATAAACAGCTTACCTGGAATAAAGGATGACAATTCACAAACAGTTATCTAATAATTAAAGTCTGTTTCTTTTTTTTGTTTTGTTTTTTACTAAAATAATTAAAAAAATCACAGTATTTTAAGAAATAAAACCCACGTGGGGATTTTAAGCACAATTTGTGTTCCTTTCTTTAAAACTCTTTTTTTTTTCTCCATTCACCGTCTTGCCCAGCAGTTCTCTCTACATTTAACCACGACGACGACAGGTAGTACTGACAAATGCAGAGAATTCCCTTGGTTAAGTTTGAGGTACTAGGAAACAGGTGACTGTTTTATGCAAAGCAGTTTTTTGTTCTCTGTTTTTGATTTTTTTTGTGGGTTTTTTTTTTTTTTGTTTTTTCCCAAAGCGGCTGCAGTTAGGTCTTGAAAAAGCTTAAGGTATTAAAACTAGAAAAACGCACCAAAAGATGTGCGTCAAAAAGTTGTTCCCCTAAGAGAAGTCTTCTACTGTCATGGAGCTTCTGTTTCCACATCCTGTCCAAGACCGCCACAGAGCACACCGTGCACACGGGAGGTGCTTCCATATTCCACAACAAATGACACTTCCATGATGAAGATCCGGAAGAAAAGGTGTAGTGATGGGAAAGGAGCCACATATTCCAACCATTTAAATAACTTTAATTTACATACTCATTCACACAGGTACCAGTGCTTTGAAAATAGATTGTTCAGTCCTAAAAAGCAGCTTTGTTCTGTCTTCTTTTCTGTCCACCCCCCTTCTCAGCCCAAGCTGGCCCTCCCACTTTCTCATCACGGTTCAAGTACGGTTTGATTAAGAATTTCACCAAACGCTTATTCATTTTTGGCCTCTGCATTCTCCAGGAGAGATTTGTCAGCAGCTACTACACAAATGGCTACTGTTTCGCTCTTTAGGGAAAAGTCTATCCCGATTGCCTCGTCATCTTCCTTTTCCTCTATAGAGGGCATCTTAATACTGTCCTCCATACTCTCTTTCAGGTGGATTTCTTCTCTGCTCACCTGCTTGGTGTCATTCAACGCCCTGGAAAAACATTGATGGGAGAGACAGGTGAGTATGCATTTTTTTCCTAACTAAACCAAAAAAGTGTCCTTATTTCCCTGCTCCTAAAAAGACCGTGGGGTTTCCTTTGCATAAATGCCACGAATGTAGTACTAAACTGCCAGTGATTTATCTTTGCTACCTGTGATGCTTAGGTCATGTCTTTCTGGCCTCTTATTAAAGATGTGAATCTATAAAAGTATCCATTATTATACTATGTTTTAATTACACCATGTGTAATGTGGACGCATTAACATAATTATTTTATGTTCCTTCATCTACTGGGTTGGTCACAGGTCACAAGTGGTAGTAGCAAGAACCGTTTTTTGCTCAAGCTCAACGGTGGAACTCACAAGCTTGGAGACTGGCCATATTTAATAAGACTAAATAAAAAGAGGAACTCAGGTGAAGATTTAATGGACAGGTTCAGAAACAAATCCTAGAAACAAAGAGCAAAAAGCTGAAGATGGAACCCATGTCTTGGGAAGTTTAGTTATCTTCTCTGAAGTTTAGATGCTTGGGGTTTCCGGGGCATTTTCTTTCTACTTGAGTACTAACTCCTAGGTTCTCTGTCTCATGGGCTAAGAGTGCCTTGTCTAGAGGACGATTTTATGTTCAGGGATCTTGAAAGTGTTTTATGGGTATGCTCCCACCTACCTGGGAGGCAGGCAGAAGCTGGCTCTGTCCCCGAGGCAGAGCACTGAAGGCACCAAGAGGTGCGAGGGCATGTTCAAGGCCACTCAGGGAATGAGTCATCACAGAGGCAGGAACAGAAGCCAGATCTTTTGACCCCGGTCCACGCTCTATCAGAGAATGTCACGCTAATGAAAGCTGAAGGGACACTGGCTGAAGAATAGCACTAAACTTCCACGCGAGGACTTGGGTGGGATTTGTCATTCATAAAGATGATTTTTCCTCATTTGACTTGTGTCTGGGTGACCGTTTAAAAAAAAAAAATCAACAAAAAAGAACAAAACCTAGTTCCTGACAGCTGCCTCTCCTCCCATGCCCAGAAGTGTGACACAGATGGAAGGGTCTACAGATTGTCAGGGGAACAACAACAATCACCACAAAAAACCAACCCCCCTCCAAAAACCCCACAAACAACAACAACCACAACAAAACAAAAAGAACCTGCTCTCCCTGCCACTTCTCACTTCTCTGGGCAAGTGATGGCTTGGGATGGCTCAACTTACATGCCGTGTCTCAGCACATGCCTTTCCCACTCAGAGCCCTGTGAAAACGCCCGTCCGCAAAATTCACACGGAAAACGTTTCTCGGTGTTAATAGCAGCCCCACGGTCCGAAAATCTCATCAGATCTGTGAGGAGAAAGCAGAATTGTTACCTGTGTGCTGTGGGAGGGGGCAGAAGAGGTAAGTCCACATTCATTAGGAAACCTCCTCTCCTACCTGCACTTGTAAAACCATCCGTGAAGGCCATTTCCAGATTCCTTACTCTTTCTCCTCCCGGCTTCTCACCTAGAGGTGTTTCTTGGCTAGTTCTCAAGAACCACCCCTGGTTCCCAGGCCCCCAGCCTCCCCATGCCTCCTCACGGCCCCAGCTGCTCCCATCACAAATAATCTGGGGTTTTCTGGCCTGAAGAACTCCCAACAGTGTCTCAGCAGGTTTGTCTGCTGCATGTCTTTATTCGGGGACGCTCTGTCAGTGACTCCCAGGTTAGCGACTATCCATTTCCTATCCCACAGAGGTTTATGTTTGCTCACTAAAAAGAACACAGACACACTGGACCAGCTTCCGCGTAGCAGACCTCAGAGTTTCGGCTGGTTCCAAGTAAGGCCGGGGGGCTCACAGCTTGTGCTCACCTGTCACGGATGTCCTAATCCACACCTCACAGGGTGGCTACGGGCCCTGAATGAGAGCTGAGAGCAAAGAACCTAGCGTGAACGGGAATCCTGGACAACAGGGAGGCTGGTGTGTGAAAACATGTCCTGAGCTGGTGAGGGACCCTGGCCGGCTGCTGGCATCTACCCCTCAGTCAGTGGTACTCGTGAATGTGGGGGTATAGACATTTCTGGACAGGCCTGTTGTCAACATCAAATACTGACTGTCATTTTGTTTTCTCCATGGCGCTGGGCACATGCTAGGGGACTGAAAAACGGCGGATTGGCCAGCTAATTGTTTACAGACCACTCCTCCTGGCAAACTCAAAGATGAGAGCTCACATGGCCTTTGTGTTCTCCTGAGTCCCAAGCCTGTACGTCTTTCATTATACCACAGAGGGCCCATCTTCCCGAGGGGAATAAATGGCAGGACCGAGATAGGCCTGCAGCCACGCTGCGCAGTGAAGGCAGGGCAGGGGAAGGGAAATGTCCATCATCTCTCTGTAGCTGATCGCTCCGTGCCTGTACATACAAGACAGTACAGGGGGGTGTCTCCTGGTTGAAATACTCCATCTAATAAGATCCTCAGGATGATGATAACAGGATAGGTGTCTCTGTGCTGCCTTAATCTTTAGCACAAAAAGCTATGTGAATGGGGCCAGTTTTAACAAAAGATGAAACATTTTCTCACAAATTAAGAAGATCACCACACAAGCCATTAAAAATAATTGCACAGACTATCTTCCTTGATTCTTTTCATTGGAAATGAGACAGCACCATCTGCTCTGCGCATTAATTCCTTAGCAGGGATTATCTTGGGCAAGAAATCAACAGAATGCCTTCCTGACTCCTCCCAACTGCATAATGAGAGGGGGTGGGGAGGATTCTGCTTGGGTTAATTTTGATTTCTTCATGCCTCACTTCTTCTCTTTTAAATTCCCTCCGAGCTGCCTAGGCAGGACCTGCGGTGTGGCCGTGGTCAGTCTCCGGTTCCCTTGCTGGAGAGGGCGTGGGGAGTGGGGGAGCTACAAGGACATGAGCCCCCCAAACCGAGTGTGCCTGATGAAAGTCTACACTGCCAATGAGGGGCATGCTCCTGGCACATTTGCTCCTTTACCCTTAGGAAACATGAAACCAGTCATCTATTCTTTCCAGTGGCTCATGCTGTTTCATCCTCAAAGGAGGAGGCCAGTCATTACCTGACACACATCAAATAGCTCTCCATCACTCCCGAGAGCTGTGCTAAAGCCACCTCCCGCTCTACTCCTAGAAGACAGACCGTCTGGCAAAAACACCCTGAGGCTACTGTGTGCCATTTCTTCTTGTTGGCAAGGATATACCTAGATGGTGGAAAATTGATTCAAAGGAGATGAGACAAAGGAGGCTGTTCTTTCAAGAATCACGAGGGGGATTGGGGGGAGGCTTGGAAAGCCCATTAGCATCAGTAGAAGTTACATAAATCCCCCACCCTCAGAGAGGAATACATTCTCCGCCACCCCAAGACTTTTTCCCTATGGGGTTAGCGCTCACGAACGTGGACACCACACTTTCTGGTGAGAAGCAATCAGACACCATGAAATTCTTTCCAGTCAAAAACTGAACTGGTCTGATGCCCCAGTACCCCTGCGAAGGGCTCAGCCAAGCTAGGCAGGCAAGGGAATTTGCCTGGTGCCCCCATCCCTAACGGCCATCTATTTTTCTAATTTACGACGCTTTCCCTTTGGAGGAATCACAGAGGAGGGGAGGACTAAAAGGGGTTCTTGCCTCTGCCATGCTTATAACCTCTAAAATCGTATGTGCTCAGCTTCAGAGATTAAAAAAAGTCATAGCATCCAACGAGGAATAATTTATTTCCTGGAGAGGAACAGCAGGGCACAGAGCATCATGAAGCAAAAGGAGCCTCTGTACCCTCTGTCAAAAGCATCCTCTTCCAGAGAACTCTGGTAACAGTGCACAGACGTTAAAGAATTCATCACTAAGAACATATTTGTAAAATGTTAAAAAAAAAAAAAGAGAGAGAAAAATAGGAACCATGCTTCCTTAGATCATAGCCATTTTCCTTGCAAGAAATGGATCATTATGGCCTCTCCTAATAAAAGTTGTGACTTGACAAGGGCAGTCAACCTAGAATGGTAGGCTATGTTCTCCGTCAGTTCATTTTTCAGGCTGACCATGGGCACAGGGGCTTTGAAGAGCCGGCAGTTCCTGCTGTTGTCTTGGGGCAGGGGAGGGGGGGGGTTGAGGGGCCTAATTGGCCCCTCACATTGCAAACCTGTGGTCTCCTGCTATGGTGTCATGGTAGGAATGGAGTGGGAGTGGGGCAGGTCAGGAAAAAGGACGGGGAGAACCTTTGAGGGAAATGGCCACCAACCAGGCTTTCTTAGGCCTGCAGACGGAGCAAGGAGGAAAAACAAAGATACTCCGTAGAAGCGTACCTCAGAGTGAGGCCCAAAGGGGATTCACAGTTAAGTCCCCTGCGATGAAGAACATTCCACTGCCCAAGGGGTTGGGGACGTGGACTGGGGATGTAGTGCAGAGATCTTGCCTTTGGAGCCAAAAGACCCAAATTCAGTCTCCAAGGTATGATGTTTTTTTCCTTTCCTTTGAGTGCTTAAATGTTCTGGGTCTTTATTTCCCCATTTGTAAAATGCTAATAATACCATGTACATTGCAGGGTTATCATTTATGTGGTGGTAACTTTCAGGAACTGGGCCGGTGTCTTGTACATGATCTCATCCAAGCCTTCCACAACTCTAAGAGGTAGGTGTTGTTATTGTTTTAGATGATGAATGCACCCGGGATAAAACACTTTATCCAAAGTCATGGAGCTAGTTTAGTAACATAACTGGGAGCCAGATCCCAGCGGCCAAATGCAGAACCATTTACATTATAGAAGATGAAAGAAAAAGGGTTCTATAAAACCCACCAACACTGGATCTGGCACGTAAGGAAGCTCGATGCTGGTAACTAACATCGTTCTTCTCTTACCTATGCTTATTTTTCACGTTTGTTATCCACGTGCTTTTGATGAATCTGCAATGACCAACCTAACAGATCCCAAACCCATAATCTGATATGCACTGTCCCAGGATTTCCACAATGGGCTATGCTGAACAATACTGAACACCAACTCTAGACCATATAAATGTATGTCTACAGCTAAATATACTTCTGAAAAACTTTATTTTGAAAGTAATTATAGACTCAGAGGAAACTGGAAAACTAGTACAAAAATCCCACAAAACCTTTTCCTATAAACACGTGGTTGAATGAAAACTGTTGGCCTCTTTCTCCCTCTTCACAGGGCAAAAAGAGGAGCAAGGGGTTAAGGAACCAGGCAGAGGGACTTCTACAAAAGCCCAGGGCTCAAGTCTTTTGCAGGCTCCCCTGGCCCCCAGCTTCAATTTTACCCCCAGCAGCAGTAATATTACCTAAGTGCCCAACAGAAACTTCTTTCACATTCCCCCACAGCTTTACAGTGTCCTGTCTCACTGTCTGCCTGTCCTTACTGTGAAGATTCCCTAGACACCAGTTTTCCTTATTAAAAACAAATCATCCCCATGTATTTTTTACAAACATATAGCTATAGTTAGAAAATGTCTGTTTTCCTTGGAGTTCCTATAGCTGGTAATTGTTTATGAAGATGGCCCCTGACATGTTTCTTAAGTCAGTCTGTTCTGCTACTTAACTAAGAAGGATCATTCCTTCTGCTTCTCCTCCAACAACCTTCTGCCTCCCTTCTGTCTCACCATGGACGTGCTAGATGCCATCTGGGCCTCCAAGGGCAGGGCTGAGACTAACCTCTGTCATCAGCCTTGCTGCTCATTTCTTCTTCCTTGTCCTCATCCTCACTGCTGGAGCTCTCCATCTTTTCCTTCATCTGTTCCAGCTGATCCAAGTTAACCCGTCCAACCAGCTCAAAATTACGGCTCACCTGAAAAAGGTCCAAATGAATAATAGAATCATGAGCCACAGACTGAACAGGGCTCTCCCTGGGGGACAGATTTTTCCACCACCACTTTCCCTTGACCGTGTTTTTGGAACCAGGACCAAACAACACCAGTGCCCAAGAGGCTCTTTTCTTCCCTTGGGCTGTTCCAGGGGTGGATCTGTCCTTTACCCTCTTGTTCCAACATTTTTAAAGGAATATTGGACCTTTCTTACCATATGCAGCAAAAAACACAAGCTCCAGCTGGCAGGAAAACAAAGTATCACAAAGCCTGGGGTACAGAGTAGGTGTCCAATAATGCTTTTTGAGTTGAATTCAAAGGTGTAACTTTTGTAAACTACCAAATTTCAAATACCTCTGGAGGCGAAAAGGCTCTGTGAGTATCCTGAAAACTATCATGAGAGTCACAACCTTCTTCTACATGATCTTATCAGTCTGGAGGCTGTGGGGCTGTGGTGCCCCAGCTTAAGCCAGATGACAACTATCGGACTCCCAACTCCATATATGGAAGACAACACCGTTACTGTGAGTATTACTGTTTTTGAAGCTGACCATAACCTATCGATTAAGGCTGGGATTACCTAAAAAAAAAAAAAAAAAAAAAATCTAGAGTAACCCCTAAAAGCCCTCTAAGTGTTAACTATGGCTGATTTTTATTTATGTAAAACATGGTTAGAATAATGTGGGAATCCACGCTTTCTTCCAAATAATGCCCAAGGGAAATCCACACTGGGAAAACTTTATAATGAGGCTATGTTTAGGGGTCTCACATTGGCAGTAGCACAAAATTCACCTTCTTGACTGATCTATTTTCAGAACCTCTCCAGCTGTGTGTATAGAATTATTAGGAATGACAGGTTAGCATGGACTCAAGCCTACACAGTGTCTCCAGCTCACAGTCAACGGTGATGGGCTCCCCGTTGGGGGTCAAGAAAGGGACCCACAAAGATGAAAGAGACCCAGTCCTGGCCTCTAGAGGCTCACAGTTTAGTTGAAGTGGGAAAGCAGGCATTATTAATCAGACTCCAAGGTAGATTTCCATAGCTGCTACAATATAGATAGAACATATTGAGGGCACAGGAGAGGAAAGGGAGAATTTACAAGATAATCCCAAAATACCCTCTGGGACCAGACTGGAACAAAGATTTGCTGAGCACCACCAATTCCATATGCCTGGCAGATGGGAACATCCTCATCAACTGTGACAAATGGTAGTGAAAGAGACTCAGAGTACCAGGGCCAATAAGACAGTCCTGAGAAAAGACTTAATATTGCCCTAACAACATCCTGTAGAAGGTAGGCAGCATTTAAAAGGAGGAAGAAAACTCAGGATAAAAGCTCTTTTAAAATGAGAGAAACAATGGATTGGTCTAACTGTAATAATGCAGTCCGTGAAATCCGTTAACACTGGACTCCGAGAATAAGTCAACAGGAGGACGGAGAGATGTTTCTGCAGACCTCAATGCTAAGCGCTCAGGGAAGGCAACATCTTATTTTGGTGATTTGCAAAATTAATTAAAATTAAAAATTTACAGACGAAGGTGCCAACAAGGAGGAAGAGTCGAGTTCAGAATCTTTATTTCTCTTTCCTCCCTCCTCAGAGTTCACAGGAACAGTCTTCAAAGAGCTTTTGCTTACAGCACCTTCCTATCTGGATTTTTCTACTATGCCTTACTCCTACAGACCCATATTGACTTTTCTTTGTTTTTATGACATAAAAGCAAAAAGAGCACAAGGAGCATGGATGGGCTTTGAAGTCTGACAGATCTGAGTTCAAGTTCAGAGTCTGTCATTATTAACCACATGATTGTGGGTAAGTTGCTCAACATCCATCCTCCGTGTCCCCATTCATAAAAGGGTAGGTCAGCACACTACCTGAAGCACAATAGTTCCCCAAAATGCAGTTTCCTTCTCCTTTCTGGGAATGTGGCCTTTTCCAATTTTGGCTTTTGGAAACGCTTATAACAAGCATCGTAAATGCATATTTATGAAGTTATGTTTAGCCACAAACTCTACATTTTAACCAAATAGCATTTATGACAAATATTTGAATAAAAGTTTTCTGGGTTGCCAGTTTTTCAGGAAAACGAGGCAAGGTTCTAATTTACCTAACTTTGAAATATGTGTGAAGTAACACATCCTTAAGTGACCAATACATAGAAGGGAGCCTTTTCTGACCTCCTCCCTCCATTTTCCATCTCTAGCTGGGGCATCAGCAGGTGTGTGTAAGAGGTGTGAGTGGAGGCCCCTGCCAGGAAATGAAAATAACCAAACCAAGAAAGGGCAAGAAGATCCTCAAACACCTTCTTTAATCCATACGTATTCATTTGTTCACTTATTTGTTCCTTCCTTCCTTCCTTCCACAAGGATACCTCCACCCCCTCCCTGCCCGGGCCCCACGCGAGGTATAGAAGCCCCTGCTTCTCAAGGAGCTCATGGTGACAGAAGGAGATCTGTCACAAAACCAAATGTTATTTTTTTCTTTTCCCACTTCTGGGTTTTTTATTTTCCCATTACCATCATTCCTTCATTGGGAAACATCTTGGGTTCTGCACAATTTTAAAAGAATATATGATATTTCTGCGATATGACGTTCATCCAGGGCTAACCCAGGATTTATCAGTCCTGGAGATTTCTAAAGGCTTTGTTAGGTAATTAAAAGATTTAGTACACTAAAAACTTAAAAATCTTGCCACTTAATTAGAAGATTTTAAAAGAAAAACTGTTTATAGTGTTGGGCTCTTACTAAACTTTAAATCCCCAATCAGCCATCCAGTATTAATCTTAATACAAAAGGAAGACTCCTTCTGCATTCATTTATTCATTCATTCACTCATTCATCTATTTTAAAAGATTTATTTGGGGCACCTGGGTGGCTCAGTGGGTTAAAGCCTCTGCCTTCAGCTCAGGTCATGATCTCAGGGTCTTGGGATGGAGCCCCGCATTGGGCTCTCTGCTCAGAGAGGAGCCTGCTTCCCTTCTCTCTCTGCCTGAGTCTCGGCCTACTTGTGATCTCTGTCAAATAAATAAATAAAATCTTAAAAAAGAAAAAAGAAAGATTTATTTATTTGAGAGAGAGCAAGTGAGTGCAGGGGTGGAGGGAGAGGGAAAGAGAAACTTGAGCAGACTCCTCGCTGAGCCCCCATGTGGGGAATGGTCCCACGACCCTGAGATCATGACCTGAGCTGAAACCAAAAGTCAGATGCTTAACCGATTAAGCTGCCCCAGGGGCCCCCTCCTGCATTAAAAAAATTTTTTTGAACTATTATTTGGAATTATTTCTCAAAGATAGTAGGACTTTATCATATTCATTTAAAAAAGTGATATTAAAAATTGTGATATAGTCAACACAGAATGTATACTAGTTTTGGGCATACCATTAGTGACTGGTCTCTATAATAAGCTCTGCTCACCACCAGTGTGGCTATTGCCAAACACTGTGCATCACTATTACAGTACCATTGACTGTAGTCCCCATCCTGTTCCCCCCCTCCCTGCGACTGACTCATTCCCCAACCAGGAGCCTCTCTTTCTCTCTCCCCTTCACCCACTGTGCCCATCCCCCACCACACTCCTCCCTGGCAAGCATCAGTTTATTCTCTATACTTATGGGTCTGTTTCTTTTTCTTTTTGCTTGTTTTTTAGATTCCACATATAAGTGAAATCATTTGGTGCTTGTCTTCTCGGTCTTACTTGTTCCACTTGGCATCCTACTCTCTAGGCCCCCCACCTTGCCGCACCGTGGAGCCACCATCTTACCTGGAATTAGGCTCCCCGCCCCCCTCCCTCCTTGCAGCTTTCTCAGCATGCCTTCTTGCCCCTTCTTGCATTGATTCTCCAGTGTGGTCTGAGAGTAAAAATAAATATGTAAATCTACTCATGTCAGTTTCTGCTTGCCCTGAGGACAGGATAAAATCTGAATTTCTCACTGTAGTTAGAAATGGCCAACTCTCTTCTTACCCTGGCTCATCTTCTACAGCCCACTGCTGCCACCCTGAACTTACTGACGTTTCCAGGATACCCCACGCTCTTGACTATGGGCCTTTCTCTGCACATGCCACTTTCTCTGCCTGCAATTCTGCTGCCTCGTTCACATAGTCACTCCTGTCTTCGAGCCCTGCTTCTGTGTCACTACACCAGGGGGACCTTCCCTAAACTCCTTGTGGGTAAATGATCCTTACACTACGCTTCCACATGCTCTCCCCTCCCCTTTTATAATTCATCCCATTCAGGAGTTGATTGTTTATGGCCTGCCGCCCCCCAGTGAACTGCAAGCCCTAGGAGGACAGACACTGCGTCTCATTCACAGCTGGCTGGCCATGTCTGTTAGAGCGGCTGCTGCGCTCACCTCTTGCCTACTACAGGCTTTCCTTCCAACGTAGTGTATTTTTCGTTCCTATACATGTCACAAAGAATAACTGGAGAGCAGAAAAAGCTTCAAGTCTGACTACCTACACATACGACTGTCAACAAGGTATTGTACTTCTGTAATCCCGCTCTCCATGCATAGGGTATTTAATTGCTGAAATTGTATTAAAACACACAAGTGGGTATCCTACCTTTTTTTATGCCTGGCATGGTATAAATACCATTCTCTGTATAAATATCATTTTTAATCACTCCATATGTATCTTATCAAGTAAATAAGATTATAGTTTACCTGACTCCACCCATGAGTTTACCTTTGGCTATCCCTGGCTTTTCACTGTTAAGAACCAACAATAAATCTTACTGTATATAAATTATACAATTTCTTTCACGTTTAGTTTTAATTTTATAGGCTATATTGCCAGATGTGAAATTATAGGATCAAAGTCAAAGGCCAAGGACTTTTATTCAAGTTCCAACTGATGTCTGGGTTGGCTTCTACAGTGATCATAGCAGTGAGCTACTTTCTGGACCTGGAGATTGGTGGGTATCTGGTGCAGAGGACACACTGAGGGAAAGTACTTTCTTTCTCTGGAGGTACACAGAAATGTATTACC